AACTTTCAATCTGTTCCTTAAGCAATGGATGTGGAGCACATGTACGTTTAGTAGTATTTTGCTTGTAATTGCCTGATCGCACTCTATTGTGTGTCCCTTGACTTTCCAGTGGTTTGGTTTCCACTGGTGTAAATATTTTTCTGCCTGAACTCTTTCATATTTTAGAGCTGAATGACCTCAATGTTGTGAAGTTCACTGTGCATATGTCCAAGTAGAAGGACAATTTGGAGCTTGATGGGCCTGATACTGGCTCTTCCGTCTTGAAAAGATGATTCTTTTCAGTGTCTTTCAGAGATGGTAGGTGTGCAGCCCCTAGTAATGAGCAGCTGACCCTTTTTAATATATCTAAATTAGAAATGGGAATATGAATGCTGTTATATGAAATGGATTAGTGCATTGGAGGAGGTTGGATAGAGTGTATTTACCATAGTGAAATGTACAGGCAGCCAACTACAAAGGGTGCAGATTTTAAAAATAACCGATAGCATGCTGTATCTCATGTAAAATAGATTTAGTAGAGCTCTTGCGAGCTTCTCAAATGTGATACTGTGTCTTCTTCTTGTTTTGTTTTTCGTGTCTGTATAGGATTAAAAAAATAGTAGTGGGGGAGGAAGATACGGCTGTTTTAAACAGTATCAAATATCTGTACACAGAAGAAATAATTTCTTGTTTTACAGGAAGCATGGCTTCATTTGGTAGTGTTTATAACCAGCAGGAAGAAAATACAATAGTGGTTTTTAAAATACTATTTAACAACAAGAAAGTGCTACAATTAAATATTGCTCTCCCTTTCTACAAATTTTCTCGGAGACTGATTTTTCACTGTGCATTTATGGCTGACAGAGCGTGTGGGAAGGTGCTGCTTACCTGTTTATTCCAGTTATATTCATTTCCTTATGGAGAGATGGAATGTGAACCATCTCTGTTTGCAAAGACCAAAGCATTTTTGGGACATGTTTATACTAGAATAAATTTATATTGAATACAGCTAGGGTTACCTTTTTGTTTGCCCTGTTTAAACTCCCACCACATAAGCTTAATCATGCTTTTTGTGGTGAAGACTGAAGGATGAAACTTTTAGGAGCATTCAGAATTCACCTGGTTTTTATTGCAGTGGTTTAAAGATGGTTTTCTGTCCTTTTCAACAGAAATCAAAGTTGGAGCAGTGTTGGGCACATGTGAAAATCCTACCTGTAATGAGCATCTTTATTATAGGAGAGGTTTATTTATACCTTCTTTCAAATTGCCTTAAGAGACCAGCCTAACATGCAAAGTATTTTATTGCTTAGGAGATAAACAGCTGCAGCCACCAGAACCCAAGAGTATTTTTAATTTCAATTTAAAAAGACACAAAAGGTCAATTAGTGCTTTAAAAGGTTAGTGCAGAAATCAGCGCAGGGCGCTGCAAGTCCACACATATTTTGCAGCAAAACTTCTGTTCTAGTTGTTCTGTATTTTGTGTCTGAGGGCCGTTGCATAGCATCTGTGTTATAATTAAAGTTAAATCACTCTTGCCTATGCAGGAAGGGATGCACTGTGATTATGTATCCCCCCCTGACTCCCCACATAACCCGATGGGGCACGTGGCATCCCGTGGTGACGCAGTGATATTGCGCGGTGGCACGAGCAGGTTGCCAATCGGCAGCTGCTTTTGCCAAGCACCTTGTTTGGAGCCAGGACTGCTCAGCACGTCTATTTGTGGCATGGAGCAAAATGCTCGGCGGGGCTGACTGGCCACCCAGCCTTCTCTGTAAGAGTCCCCGTCTGCCTCTGGCCGTCCCTTTCTCGTGAGGGGCCCCCGTCTGCCTCTGGCAGCCGCCGGCGCAGGCAGCTGGATCCGAAAGCTGCTCCTGCTGAGCAGGGCAGCAGTCGTCCCTCAGAGATGATAAAGCAGCGTGGCTATTTTTGCTGTTGTTTTCTGAAGCCCTTCTCCATAGCCACAGTGGGATGCTTCCCCTCCCCTCTTCTGCTGTTTCCTTTAGCACCTTCCCCACTGTCAGCTACTGATAATATCCTTGGTGTGCCAGGAGGAGCCTCTCTGTCTTCTTCCTTCCTAAGTACCTTTTCCAGTTAAATACTCAACTTCTCCCTTTTCTCCTTATCACTGCTTCCTTAAAAGCTGCCACGTTTTGTCCTAGATCCCAGGGAATGAATGCCCTTGGGAAGCTGCTGCTGCAAATCAGCAACCCCCTACACACTTCTCGCTTCCCGTGGATGGCTCCACCTTGGAGTAACCTAGAATTCCCTAATGAAAATACCATGTATTTTTAACGGCGTGTTTCAGATCTTGGCAGCAGGCCTCCAGAAAAGGGAAACATGGCCAGCTGCTCTGGATTTGTGGATTACCAGACCTTCACAGCAAAACTGTGTTTTGCTTCAGTAGCAGAAGGCCCTTTTTAAACCCCTGGCAAGCTCCTTTCTTGCTTAATGGAAGAAGATTGGGAGCAATGCCACCAGCAGCAATGGCAATAGTCCTCAAGAACCAGGCAGCTTCTACTTATTACACATATGGAGTCCTATTACCTTGTAAGTCTGCTTCTTGAAAAAAGCTAGGAAGATTAAACAGGCTTTTTGGATAGACATCTTATTGCATTGACTTGCTGTACTGCTTGGTTTGCTACAGCCATGCAAAAGATCATGCAGTAGTAAGCAAACTAAACCCAAGAATCTGGATCGATATTTTCCTGTTAACCACAGAAGACACAAGGCAGCAGAGATGGTTTCCAGCCACCTTGGTAGCATGCAGATTTCATGCTAATACAAGGACTGAAATAGTTCCCTGGGAGAGAGAAACACTTGAGCCTCTCTGATTTGCAGCAGCTGTGTCCCAAGAGAATTGCCTGTGATCTGGGACAAAATAGAAGAAAACAGTTGAGGAGACATCAGTGATAAGGGGAAGAGACAGACTGGCTTGCTGTTACTTATCTTAGTGGCTTGGTGCACCTGCACTAATACTGGTGCTAATCAGCATGGTTAGGCCTTTGCAATCAGTCTCCCTGGAGTTTTTCATACCCACAGAAACTGTGGTATTTGTTTGATAAAACAGTCCACGTTGACCTGTGCAGGAAATGCTGGGAAGCAGAATGGAGAAGAAGAGCCAAGCATCATTATGCCTGTGTCTCTGTTAGCAAACAGCACTCGTTTCCATCACTGGTGCTCCAGCAGGCGCAGAAACCTTTTCTTCCAGGGCTGTTTCCTGCAACCGTGTTCTGGCAAGATCATCATGGCCTAGGGCTACAACCTGAGCACTGCTTGATCTGGAGCTTGTTCCATGACAGATAAAAATAGGGCTTGAGCTCCAGCCAAGCTGTGTAAGCAGTGAGGGTGCAGCCTTCTTAGCCTGTTACAACTTGTGGCTCCTGGTAGCTCTAGTGCAAGATGGATAATCACACCTACGGATGGGTAAATTAACAGAGTCATGCTGCCTGGTTCCACCCACCATGGTGTCCTGTGGCGCAGGGGAATAGCTCACCCAGAGGTTGTTTCGTGCCAAGGGGAGGTGAAGGAAACCTGACCAAAGCCATCCTAGAAATTTGGCCTGTTTGATTTTGCTGTACAGCAGCAGAAATGTAGTGCTGTGTTGGCCAGGCTGTGGAAAGACGGCTACGTGCAAGCCCAGGCCTGCGTGGAGAGCGACATGTGCTGCTGTACGCTTACTGAGCAAGCTGTCCCAGCTAGGGGTGAGCTATCTGACCCAAACCCGTCATAAACCAGAGCCTCCGCAATAGGTCCTAAAAAAGTGAAGTTACATTAAGAAGTAGTAGCCTTGACTGGACTTCCTATCATATCCTTTGTCATTTTCTGCTCCTAATACCTCTGCTTGTTCCCTCCAGTCATAGTCTTCATGTCCTCCTCTGCCTTCTCATGCTCCCTGGCAGACCAGTGATGCTTTGAATTCTTTGGATACCATAGCTCTGTGTGTCATGAGCACAGGGTGCGTGTGGTTCTGGGGTTCAGGCGATTGCTAACAAGGCCGAGTCAGTTCAACACAAGAGATCATTACTGGGGGCAGCTTCCCAAAACCCTGCTTCATCTGCAGCTATGAGTTGCCTGAAGCCGAGTATCCCACATCTGCTGCAAGTGCTTCAAGCAGGGAAAGCTTGCAGGAGTGTGTAATTATTAGCTGCAGATCTGCAGCTGATTGACACTGCCTTCTCTAGTAGGTGGTGCACAACAGGTTTTTTGAATAGAATATAACCATGACATAATTGCAACTTTAGAAGGGCATTCTGTGGTGAAGGAGTGATTAATTTTATTCTTTCTTCCTTGTCTTGCGCTCTCAGCTCCCTAATATCCATAGTAAATTACTTCAGTAAGTGTTCTTACATTAGATAATTGTTTTAAACACAGCACATTGCTGGAAATCAAGCTTCATTTTCCCTCCTTCATATATTGCCCATTATGGCATGCTTTGTAGTACAGTTAATGGCACGTGAAGCACAACAGAACCCAGACTATCCATCTGTACTTTTACTCCTCCTCTGAAGTGCTGACAAGAAGAAAGGTGCCTATAGATAAATTCAACAGATACTACTTAGAATACACAAGTGGAACATTAAAGGAGACCATATTTACAGTGTAATTAATATACTGTAACATTAAAGTAGGTTTTGCCTAATTAGAGAAGTCTTCTCTTCATGCTTTCCACTGCTGGTTTGCCCACGATAAAATATTATTTGAACTCACCCCCTCCTCAGCAGAAAGTAGCTGCAGACAAGTTTGGTGGTGACTGTATTTGCTCACATAGGTTACTCACAGCACAGCTCTCCTGGGCGGCTTTTGTCGGCAGCCGGCAGCGAAGCCTTTCTCCAGCATCCGAGTTTGCACAAGGTCCTGGCAGGGGAATGCGCTCCTCCACTCGCAGCCAGCGTCAGTAAATCACAGCGTGACAGGCTCACCGCCCCGCCGCTGAACTTTTAACTTGAAGCTTGAGCAGGGCACTGAGCAGCTCTGGCTACATGACACGGAGCTGAGAGAGTAAATCACTTTGCTGGGAACAAGGGGAAGTCCAGCAGCTCGCTTTGCAAGCTTTGCCTACAGCTTCTTTGCACTATCAGCGCACAACATACACACCCGGGAGAGCAATTAGAGAGAGATGGACTTCCAGCACAGAGGTCACCCTTACTCCATCCCAGAGGATGAAGAGGTTGCTCACAGGGTCGCACCTGATGCCCACAGCTCTGTGGGAAATGAAGGCGAGAAACCGGTGTCGAAATTGCAACGTAGGCACAGTGACATAAAACTCTACAAAGAGTTTTGTGACTTTTATGCGAAATTGTAAGTTCGTTCTGTTCAGCTTTGGGGTGTAACTATGGTGACATTGTTGATGTATTATACGTTTGTATTTTACTATCTGAGCTCTGGGCAGGCTGTGCAAGCCATTCCTTAATGCAGCCTTTGCCACTGTCCTGCTTGCTGCATTGCCAGTTGTAATTGTCAGCTGAAATTTAAGCTGTTGCTGTAAACTTCATCATTAATTGTGTCAGAAATCTTTACCAGCAGTTGAAATGGGGTTGGAATTTGTCAAGTAGTCTCTCTGACTTGAGGTTGTTTGCCTGTTATTTTGGGCAAATTGATAAACTGCTTCACTAATGCAGAAGTATTATGTACATCGCTGTTTTTACATATGTGATGTGTTTCAGATTGAAGTGAAGTACTTTTGCATACTGGGGAGGAAAGCTTTATGCTTTCATTTGTTTTTGAACTTTGTTTCATGTTTTTGCTTGGGTTACACTTTGCGTCTGACAGCACTTAACAAGAAATAATGTTATGGCTTTAACATCTTTGTGCTTGAGAACTGTTGAGGTGATGATGAAAGATCCCAGTTTCTGTTGTGATTATTCTTCATTTAGATTGCTGTGGAGGATGGGTGAAGTGACTGAGGTTTCTCCTCCGCCCCGAAAGCATACACAATCCATGGTGACCATCACTGGGCTTTATACTTAACCACAGTTAATATGTATAGTCACTGCAGTTTGTCTGTTGCGATAGTATGACATAGACCATTCTCTGTCCGATCTTTGTGAAACTTGCCCACTTGTTTGATGACTATTTGGATACTAGTTACTGTTTTCCTTTTCTGCAAAGATCTCTAGAGAGAGAGAGGGAAAAAAAAAAAGCCAGCTAATAATAGCTGGTCAGATGTGACCTTGCATCGGGCTCTTCTGTGGGGCAGCGTAAGAAACAGATAAAGCACATTCCTTTTCCAACCACGTGCCAGGTGTTTGCTTGCTCCCTCAGATACTGTGCAAAGGATGAATTCAGTTCCTATTGAACCTGGTGGGAGCCAAGATGTCTTACCCTTGGGGGAAAGGCTTGGCATCCTGCAGAAGACTGAGGGCTCTGCCCTTACAGCAGCAGTGTGATTGCTCTGTTCTGTATGGGAATGTGTGTGACCTAACTATGGCCTGACCTCCCTGAGATGAACCCCAACAAACCTACCCAAAATCCTGTTACTTCAACCTAAATTTGTATAGTTATTTTAAGCTATGCAAAGCTTATAAAAGGAATGTTTGCCTGCTCTGGTTTTCAGTAATATCTGCCAGACTAGATACTATACACTGTTTCACATTGCTTATTTAGAGCCTTTGAACCAATGTCATTATATTTATTTTAGGATTAGGAATTATTTTTGAATTATCATTTATATTTTCCTGTGTGCTGTCAGTCCTCAATTATTGTTAGTATTTGCTCTTGTTTTCTGTAATTCTAATGTATTTTGTCATTTTTATAGTACTTCTTTGAATTGCCTGCCTTTTCTTATCATAAAAAGCCTGCAAATGTATCTGTAGTAATTATATTTCTGTTTGGTTTTTTTGAATTGCTAGTTATTAGAGTGCATTGCGGGGGTTTTGTTTCTGAAGAGTTTGGGAGCAGGGTGAAATGGCAGTTTTATTTCTGAGGCGATACCACAAGTCATTAAGTCCATTGCAAAACTTGCATTCATCTGCCTAGCATTAGGCTGATGCAGTTGGCTTTGAGGGACAAAAAAAAGAGACGCACAACCAGTTTTGTTGCCTATTTGGGCTAATTTTCTTTCTGTTTCTTTTTTTTATTATTATTTTTATGACAGCAACATGGCGAACGCGCTTGCAAACGCCATCTGCGAGCGCTGCAGAGGTGGCTTTGCCCCTGCCGAGAAGATCGTCAACAGCAACGGTGAGCTGTACCACGAGCAGTGCTTCGTCTGCGCCCAGTGCTTCCAGCAGTTCCCCGAGGGGCTCTTCTATGAGGTAAGCCCCTGTCTCCCCCCCGCCTTTGCCTTGTGCCTCCTTTCTCATACAAGAAGTAACTACAGGCAAATCGGTAGCTTAAAAAGTTCCATGGCAAGAATGGGGCTCCGAAGGGATATGCCTAACAGAGGGAGAAAATAGCAGAAATGTTTCTGTGTGTTTCTGTGTTTCTCCATTTCGGAGGACATCAGTGTGTATAACCTTATTCAAATGTGTAGCTTCATATTATCAGAGCTGAGAAAAGAACTGCTGCAGATTTCTCTCTCAGTGCAGACTTTTTTCCCTGAAATCTGTCATAGAATCATAGAATCACAGAATGGTTTAAGTTGGAAGGGACCTTAAAGATCATCTGGACCAACCCTCTGCCATGGGTAGGGACACCTCCCACTAAACCAGGTTGCTCAAAGCCCTGTCCAACAATCTATATATCATACCAGAAATACAGAGAAAGCATACTTTTTACAGGAGAACAGTCATAGAGAAGGAAACCCCAGCATCCTGCAGTCCATTGGATGTCTATTGCTGAGCTGACTGAGGCCAGCACAGCATGTGAAAAGTCAGTCATAGAGATGACCTGTAAGTCAGCATGCTGAGATCAGGGTGTGCAGAGAGATCAAACCAGACAGGGCCTATGTAGAGTCTCAAACCAGACAGGGCCTATGTAAGGTCAGCTCTAGGTTTAAGGAACCGGAGCATTCAAAATTCAAGCAGTTCTTACACACTTTCAAGGGTTAAAACCTGCTCTCACTCATATTTCTCAGCCTCAGGTAGGCTGCCCTCAGCTCAGGTGGGTATTTTGATACCCATGTCATTTTCTTTTGCTTTCCCCTATCATGGAGGTTCAGGATGCAGCTCAGCTATCTCAAGTACAAAGTGGCTTCAGTGAAAGCTTTAGACTAGTTCATAAAATAGGAAGTGACTGGTATAAGAAAGGGTAGATGATGTGAGACAGGGAATTACTGTCTGAGAGATAAGGTCCCACTCAAGTAGCTTGTAGTCCAACTTACAGTAGTAGTAGGATTTATGTCATACTGTGGTCAGAATAGGAAGGTAAGCAGTGTGTTAAAAGCACAGTGCTCTGCTCTCACGTACAGTGTGCCATCCTTGTGGCAAGAGCACAGCAGCTTATCTTCCACGGCAGTATTTCTAATTTTGCAGAACTGTGTTGACGAGGAGGGGCTGAGGGAGGAGTGTGTACTGGAAAAGAGACTGGCATAGCAGGTTCCTGGGGTTTCCTTTCTCTCACCTTGTTTGAGGATCAAAAGACTTCAGTGCTGTAAGCGATAGTGTTGCACAGATTGTGGTACATGAGCCACTAGTGTTGCATAAGACATCAAATGGTGAGCTGCAAGGCAATAGCAATTAAAAAACAAACCCCCTAGATACTTATGCATTACATTGCGATTGTTAGTATTGTTGTGGTTTAGGGCTGGGCCGGCCACTAAATCCTGGACAGACGCTCTCTATTAACCCCTCTCCCCTCCCCAGAAGGGAAGAGAAAAGAGAATAAGGGAAATATTGAGGGTTGGAAAATAAACTAACAGGTTTAATAAAACAATAATACTAATACTACAGGATAATAATGTAAATAAGAAAATAAATGTATACAGATATGTACAAATATATAAACAAAACCAATATAAAATCCTCCCCCCACCCTCCCCCCAATGATGAATACGTCACCTGCAGAGCCGGGCACGGGAAAAATCCCAGACCAAACTCAGCAGCAGGTGGGAGCAGGATGCAGAACACACGAATCAGGATCAGCAGCAGATGAACTAGCAGGGTTCTGCTCAGGCCTCGACCTCTGCAGGATCAAGATGGACAGAAGGGTCCAAGCTGGAAGGGCTCCAAGATGCAAGAAGGGTCAAGATCCTCGTGATCCCTCGGTTTTTATACCGAGTATGACGTATGTGGGATGGAATACCTAGTTGGTCAGTTTTGGGTCCGCTTCCCACCCCGTAGGCACAGACACAGCACCCATGATGAGACGACTGACCTTGAGCATATCTTCCAGCAGCACTGTTTGGGAAAAACATGCTGCTAGTTTTCAGCAAGTTCAGCCACTTAAAAGAGACTGAGCTGAAAAGTAAAATCACTAAATAGAAAATTAGTTCTATTTAGTTCAAACCAGGACAAGTATATACTGAGCTGCTGCCTGCTTGCAGGCATGGTGAGGAGTCCTGATGTGCTAAGACCCAAGGCAAACATAAAGTGATGCAAATGTTTAAAAACTAAAATATTTGTAACTGTGTTAATAGAATTGTCTTAAAACAATAAAATTTATTTTCTCTACACAATAAGTACTTTATTCATCTTTTTTCTGACTCAAGAAACAGTGTGACAATCCAGGGACCTCTTTCAGAAAGCTGAATGGTCCTTTGTTTGAGATAGAAGTTTGAGAAATCCTGTGCTAGGCAGCCTGTATCTCCTAGAGGATGGAGGAGGACCACAATGGAAAGAAAGTATTACATTTCCACCTAATCCAGGAATATTACAATGTCTCTGTTGCTCACAATGGCCATATCTGAATGTCCTTGGCAGGGGCAAATATCCTGGTGGTGTTTATATGTATTTGACGTAGGCATTTTGTTTCCTACTGTTAACATTCATATTCATATTGGTCTTTGAGCCCTCTCTGCCTGCAATGTGATGCTCCCAGTTAAAGACAGTAAGTTAGAAGTGACTGTCAATAGATTGCCCTGGGAATGAAAATAGCCTCAGGTACTAAACATGTTTTGGTTAACATTGCTAGGGATTTTTTCAGGCTGCATAGACACTTCGTTCTTGAGAAATGTCACATAAAATGTGGAAAGTTTCAGTTAGGAATAGACACTTTTTGCCACAGCTATTACAGAAGTAAAATAATTGTGACGAAGATTAAATGAATACGTAATGACTTGTGTGTGGCTTGAACTTCACATCACCCGTCTGCCTTTAGCCTTTCTAGTGTCCACCACAACATCTTACCATTTCTCTCTGCACCAGCAAGTCTGCTGCTGTTGAAGAGAGGTACTTTCTGGTCTGTTTAAGCCCTCTGACAGCCTTCAGGCGATGGCTTATAAATCTTACCCAGCCTTCCTCCCTCATCTATACTGGCCTGTCCTGGAGATCTAGAGAGTGGAGAGCTCAGTGGATATCTGTGCTGTCCCAGCCCTCATGCCTTTGGGGCTCTTTCAGCTGGGAAATCCATAGCAGAGCATTCTCATTTGTTTCTGCGCCCTTTAGAGTGTCCACACATGTCCCACGCTTCCAGAATGGCTCTCACCTGGTACCGAAGTGATCAGTGAGATGATAGCAGTGGAAACCCCAACATGTTTCCTGATGGTGCTGCTCAGCAAGAAGAGAGGACAAGGGCACAGCTTGCTTTTCTTTCATTTGATACCTCTCCACAAGAGATGGGCACATACTGGGTGATAGTGTTCGGGGGAGAGGGAAGGGACAGCCCTAAGCATGGGCTTAGGTTGGCCAAGTGCTCAGGAGACAGCTGACAGTGCTCTGAGGACTTGAGATGATCTGTATGGCTGTCAGCAAAAAATGACTGGAGAAGACAGGCAGAAAGGATATACTGCACTCTTAGAGAAGGTGGATGTGTTTGGAGGTGTGGCCAGGTAACGTGTTTTTCAGAGCAGGTTCCTTGTGGGTAAACACAAGCATTGTTGGTCACCCTGCATGAGTCTGTGTTTATTCTGTGTCTGGTTTAGCCAAGCTAGCGTTTCTTGGAAATGATTTCCAGCTCTTAGCAATCGGGAAGTCAATTATTCTTCCCCTACCTATCACAAGCCTTGCAAGGTTCCCTCAGTTAGTCATTAAGCTGCTTATCACATTTGCTGTCAAACGCTGCTGTGATAAGCTTTCACGCTCTGCTCCACAGGGTGGAGGGGGCTAAACTTGTTTGGCTCTGTGGGTAGGAATTCCGATGCGGGTCTCCTGCACTGCGGGACACGTCTCCAGGCTGCCTGCAGGGACTCCAATCAGCACAGCTCACTGTGGTCTGGCACCCAAGCTGAGCCGCTTGCAGGCACGAGCGGAGCCAAGGCAGAGCAGTGCTGGGAGTTTGCACAGTGTAGCAATAGGGATCAGCTGTGCTGGTCTAAGAAGTATTATAATAATATAATACTCTTGTTGTTGTTGTTATTATTATTAAATAAAATAATATGGAATGGCACATGACTTCTGTGTCCTAAATGAGATGGAGTTCTTTTCAGTTTTGGAGGGTTTTCTGAGATATTTGTCATAAACTGTAGGAAGATGCAGCTGCAATGCGCTTGTCAGATTCGTTTCTATTCCAGTTGCACCTGGAGTGCTTTCTTAAATAGGCTTTCCCAGAAACCCTCTTAGAGCAGCGGTCTTTAAAAACTCAGGTTTTGTGCATGTCTTTCTGCTACGTTGGCTAAAACTGTGGAGATCAGCGGGAGTTTATGTTGTGGTGAAATGTTCTATGCAGAGCCATTTGACACATGGACCTCCAACATACAACATTCGAGTGACCTTGCTTTTTAAAGTATGTGCTGTGGGATTTGCTGTAGAAGCTCAAGGCTTTCTCTGACCAATGAACTGCTGGGTCACCCACAAAAGCAGCACAAATGAGCTAAGAAGGTTGAAAATATAAACAGGACTGAGTGGTAACCAACCTGGCTAATGCAAACCAGAGGGGAAGGAAACCTGTTAGGTCCGCCCAGATCAACATGGGGTGGCTCTGAAATCCAAACAAACCAATGCATCTCCCATTGGACCACCTGTTTACACAAAACAGGAAGCTTTCAGATTTTTTTCAGTTTTAAAAGGATTTTAGCCAGCAGGAAGCAAGCACAATTCTCAATGAACTAATAATTTCCATTGCTCTCTGAGATAGCAGTAGTCATCTCTCAATTTAAAAAACCCAAAACCTCCAGTTAAAAAGCCAATCTGTTTTAGAATGTTACACTGGACAAACACTTGATAAATTGCTAGCAAAGACTTCTGGAAGAGTCTGTATTGAGCATGTGTCTTTCTGTTCTTAGTAGGTGCAATTCAGGTTGGGGACAGGAATTAAGTTTCTGATCTCAAGTATCTAGTGACTTCTAGAGTGTGTCTTAGATTCCCATCCTGCCACTGGCTCTGTATATTGCACGAGTAATTACTATACCTATATTGGTTTTGATCCTTGGGATTTCATAGTATAAAACAGGTAATCTTGAAGTACATGGCTGTATTTTCTGTTTGTGCACCAAAACTTAATTTGTGGATAGTTATTTTATGCTCATTGCATTGTTTTGTGTTAGACCCAGTAAAAAGAAAGGAGTGGGGTTTCCTGCTATACCCCCTTTTCCAATGTTTCAAACTGAGACATTCAAATCCAAACATTTCATAGCATACCTAATATTGTCTGTCTGGTTTTGACACGCAAGTTGGCATGTGTGTCTAGTAATGTTGTGCCTGAAGGTATCTAAACCTTTCCCTTCATTTCAGGACATACTTGCCTACATGTTTTACATATTCTCCAGATAAGTTTCTAATGCAGTGCTGTAGAACTTTTTTTTATATGTTTGTTTTCTTTTTTCCTATGTGAGCTTGAACTGCAGCTGAACTTCTCTAAGGTGTGAGAAAATTCAGATCCAAATCCAGATCCCCTAAGATTGGTTCCCTATTTCATCTGGTTGATCTAGTGAACTTGAAATTTGGATTTGGTGATCTGAAGGTTCTTTTTCAACCTAAATGATTCTATGTTTCTGTAAAATACACATCAAGAAGGAAAAACCTTTATTTTCCTTTCTGTCTGGGCTGTGCTGCTCCATAAATTGCAAAGATTTCTGTCCCTGGGCGTTCTTCCTCCTCCTGTATTTCCTTCAGCATGCTGGGTTATCCTTGCAGGAAATGTAGAGTGGAAGAGAGATGAAACAGGTTCAGGGAAAATGCTTCCCCCAGGAAAGGTTTTTGTTAGTTAATTTCCTGCCCACAATTCGCTTAGTCTCATCGGAGTTTCAGCAGTCTGTCAAAATTCAGATATCTGTTGTGATGTAAATGGGTGACGGAAGATGCCTCACACTCTCGGCAATATTAGAAGTATGATGCACAGTTAACACTACATGCTAACTAGTAGCTAAATTGAGGTGGGTGGATTTAATGCCTAGCACATGGTCTGTGTTTTTGTGCAGCCCCTCGTGTTTTATTACCTAATTGCATCTTGGAAACAAACTGGTATGTTACAGCATTTGTGTTAAGGGCATGCTCCTCATCCCTGTAATGCTCAGATTTTTTTCCATTTGCAGTTTGAAGGGAGGAAGTACTGTGAACATGATTTTCAGATGCTTTTTGCCCCTTGCTGCCATCAATGTGGTAAGTTTTACATCAAGGTGAAACGCTTCACACTGATCCCAAATGGGACTGTCACTGGGGTGACAGAAGATGTGCAACCCTTGTGTATCTTCTCTGGGAGGTGGCCCTGCGTGGCTGAGCATCTAAACTTCCAGAATGAACTAGACTTCAGAGAATTTGGGAAGCTGCTTTTCCTAAAGATCATCAAACAATGGTATTAAAAAAAAATGCATCATTTGAGTGAGTAGTTTAGCTGTTGATCCAGTGGTCCAATGAACAGCCATTCATGACTCCTGGTTGTATGTATCTGCATGCAGGTGCTGATGCAGCTGAAACCCTGCAACAGGTCTTTGCCATCTGCTTCGACTGTTGCAGCCCACCCATGCTGTCTTACTCCATTAGAAGTGGGGACAGTTTTTACCATCTAGTGTTATAATCAATTGATGAGCCAACTGGCTTCATATTTTTGAAACAAATAATACCTTTAAGGCTTCAGTGTCTGATGTCATCCCTAGGTAACACTGAGGGCTGTGTTTTATTTGCCACTATTGATGTAAATGTTTTCGTGTCTGCTGTGCTGTTACTGTTTGCAAGGTTTTTCCCCCTGTGTGTGACACATAGTGCTCGGGCAGGGCTGGGAAGTCATTATTTGGCTATTGCTTAAACTGGTCTGGAAGCTCTTGTGTTTCTTTGGCACCTTGGCGAAGCGCTAGGGGTTTCACTTATCTCAGTGAGGCCTTTCCCTTGTGTGGAGGGAGGAGTTGAACACCAAGGGAGAGGGAAGCAGATGTTACAGACCTTTGAATCCAAAGCTGCAGATGTGAACAAGCAGGGGAAGAGGAAGAAAGGGGTCAGTGATGATTTCTGAGCAAGCCTGAAGTACCAGGAAGTCTTGCTGCCTCATCCCTTCCACCAGCTGGCCACTTCTCTCCTTGTGCTCCGCTGGTTGCTCCACAGCCCCCTTCCTTCCTCCTCTTCCTGCTCCCTTGTGCCAGGGCCTCATCTTCTGCTTCCCTGCTCCTTGCCTCTAAAGGCATTGGGTGAAACCTCATACCTAACCCCTTGAGATGCAATGTGCTGCTCTTCCCATGCACCAGAATCATCCACACACTGCTGACATACACTGGTGTTATGCCCTAACACTGTTTAGGCAGAGCTCATGAACTACAACGCCCAAATATATAATGACTAAATCATGTGTGTGGTGGCCATGGCTTCATTGCCGGTGCAGTACAGTCATCCAATGCTTGCAGAACAGCAGTTCTCACACTTTTTTAATGCCATACAGGACAGGACTCCTCATACTAGGTCAGAAGTTGTCTGTGTTGGATTGACTGTTCTGCAGCTTCACTTTGCAATTTTGACTCTGTTGGGGTTTTTTTGCAGGACGTCCACAGTCACCCAGGCTCAGTTCTGTTGTGCTTTGAGTATAGAGCCCCTTCAGCACTTGGTCCTAGTTGAGTAGAAACCACTACTATGTACAGAAGAAGTTAAAGTTGTTGTCTTCTAAAAGAAGAGAAATGAAAAGATGATTAGGACACAAGAAAGCCGTATTACATAAAGAATTCCATATATTTCTTAACAGTTCGAGAACAGAACAGAAAGTCCTCTGTCAGCAAAGATGTTTTCTTCTGGCCCATAGCAAAATACTCCCAAAGAAGTCCAAATTTCATAGTTTAGAACCAGAAATGTGATTCTGAAAGCAATATATCCTACCAGATTTAGGAGGGAGGAAGAGGATGAGGACATCATTGTAGCAATTCGGCTGTGAGTTTCTTTTAACTTTGTCTAGCATGGTATTTAACATTCCAGTGTTGTGTTTCTTACAGGTGAGTTCATTATTGGTCGTGTTATTAAAGCTATGAACAACAGCTGGCATCCAGAGTGCTTCTGCTGTGATATCTGCCAGCAAGTATTGGCCGATATTGGATTTGTCAAGAATGCTGGCAGGTAGATCCTCAATCTTCCTTCTGTTACGGACCATGAATAAAATGAACTGAGAGAGGGGACTGAAAGGTTTTGGTTCCTGGAGCTTTTCAGCTGAAAAGTGTCTTTTGTTAGGAAAAGGTGTAAAACTGCAAAAATCACAAAATTAAGAATGGATATCTTAAAATATACACTTAAAATACTAACAATTTACTTACTTCAACATGAGATTTCTTAGCAAACATGTTCTCAACCTGGTAACGTTTTGGGACCATTGTGATACATAATACGAAAGAAAACATGCAGATACAGAAGCATTGTCTTTGTTTTTTTAATACCAGTTTTTACTTTCTTTTTCCAACTTGGATTTCCAATTTTGGCCTAGTTTGGCACCTTATTTATTAATAATTGTTTTAAGTTCAGTGGGACACTTCACAGAGTAGGATATTTTTACCAGCTGTGAACACAAGAATGTTTTACAAGTGGATTCTATGGCCATTGGCTTCATATGTATAGTATTATATACATAGTTATTTACAGAATTAGGACCTGTGTGGTCATGCAGTTTCCAATCTAAATTTTTAAGGTTTTGAGAGTAAAACATTCAGTAGTGAGAATCTATCACAAACTTTATTTTCTTGGTTTCAACACAGTTCAAACTCAAATGAGCTGAAGAAATTATATCCTTGTGGTGACTGAAAATAAAATGATAGGGCTCCCTCTTCTGAACTTGGTTTGCCTAACAAGGAATTTGTTTTAAAGACTGTTTTCTCTCCGGAAAAGGCTGATTGAAATGAAGTTCTAATAGATTTTTGGAATATATTTTGCACTGTGGTACCTGGTACCAGTACTTACCTCTTTTTTTTAATGCTTTTTCAGACATCTGTGCCGTCCTTGCCATAACAGGGAAAAAGCCAGAGGACTGGGGAAGTACATTTGCCAGAAGTGTCATGCCATTATCGATGAACAGCCCCTCATATTCAAAAATGATCCTTATCACCCTGATCATTTCAACTGTGCAAACTGCGGGTAACTTGAGTTCTGCAAAGGAAAACAGGAAAACGTTTATTTGCTTCATCGATTTACGTCTTAAAGTGAAAAACCTGTCCTGTGCAACTGGCAAGAGGGGCAGGGTTTGAGTGCCTTGTGGCCAAATGTGTGTCACTGCTTTTGGGATGGTGGAGTTGGGCCTTGAGTTCAAACAACAGCTGACCTGTCAAGGAGTAGTGAAAGGCTGAGCTCTGCAGGACAAGATGGTACCTTAGGAAATAGAGACACAGATCATGGTTTCTGTAGCAGCAAAATGGTAGCTTGTTATTCTTCTAGGAGAGAAAGATAAGTGGTTCTCTTTGGCTGCTTGAGTTACTGTCTTGCCTGTGTTATTTCTTTTTAATTGAGTGGCATGCAAACTTTGTTCTCTCCTTTTAAAGCCTATCTTTTTCTTAGTAGCTATCTCCCACCTCATTTTATCAGCTTTTGCAACTGCAGTACATGAAGCTGCACATGTCTGCATCATGCACTGATAGAGAGAGAAGGGTCCATTGTAGGATATAGTACACATTAGTAGTTGTTTGGTTTTGGTGCAAAGGAAGCTATCATTTCAGTACCATAGCAAAGGCTGCTTTGAATAAGTTGTGTCAGTGACCACCAGTGAGAGCATTAGTGAGTACAGTCACATTTAATGTTTAGCTGTTCTCAGTATTCTAACCGTGCAAATTACTAAAGATAGAATATATGAGATTGTGCAGTTGGCAATGAATAAACATTGCTAGCTCATGTGGGTCCATAAGTTTTCTTTCTCTGAAGTTTGATACCACAAGGAAAATGTACCTAGTTGCAGAGTCCTGTACATTTTACTTTCAGTTACAGTTAAGCAAGTCTAAAATAAACTGGTGACAAGAGTGTCAGACTATAAACCAAACATGTCTACAGCTTGCACACACATATTTGTGCTACATGACCAGAATGCAGAATGACAACAGCTCAGTGGCTGTTTTCGGAGAGATTTAGTGGGTCTCACTTAGCAGCCTGTTCTCACTTTACTGGGATCAGTCTTGAACTATGTTGAACTACGTCATATTTGCTGCTGCTGCATTACTGTAGTACAAATGCAATTTCTAAAACAGATGCTAAAAGTTCTTTCTTTCTTTCCAGAAACTCTCATGCTCTTAATGCGTTTACTTTTGAACAGGAAGGAACTCACCGCTGATGCTCGTGAGCTGAAGGGAGAGCTTTACTGCTTACCTTGCCATGACAAAATGGGTGTCCCCATCTGTGGGGCCTGTAGAAGACCAATTGAAGGCCGTGTGGTGAATGCTATGGGTAAACAGTGGCATGTGGAGGTAAACATCAAATGATACATTGTCTTTTACAAATGTAAATACTTATCTGGGGTTTTACTGATCAATTTCAGTGAAAGGATTAGCAAAGTATGTAGCAATGATTAGTAAATGCCTTCTCCTAATCCCATCTTCAACCTTCTTGTGGCTGATCTTCCACTGTGAAATAGGAGTTATTTCCTACATTACAGAGAGCTTTGACAGTTAAACTGAAATCAGTAAAAGGAAATGCTGTGAGGTCCTTACAAAAGAAAATTTCAGAGTGCAAAGCAGTACATGTGGAAAGGCAGTAAAATTCTCTGGCAACCGTAATATTACTGAGCATCATAATACCCTTATGTCTTCCATAGTCACCTGCCATATAAATATCTCTCAAGCACCTTACGTGAGAGTTCATATTTCAAGGCAATGTACAAGATTTAGTTCCACACCTTCCATTAAAATTAGGAAGATAAACAGTTTATTCTTTTTGTCATTTTTAAAATCTCCTCCAGCAAATGCTTTCTTCACAAGAGTGTAATGATGATGCACATTATTTAGTACCTCTTTGAAGAGTTAGGGGAGCTCCAGAATACAAACACAGTCTCCATAGGAGTATGATGAATGCTGCTTCTTTATTGCAAAACACAGTTGCAGTTCTAGTCTACAGCAGGGTTCACGCAGCATAAAACAATAATATCCTTGGTTCAAGCATTCTATTCACGCGCCTCATCTCGAGTGATGATTGGACGCACACAATAAAGCATGCGATCCTCTTGGTTTGCCTTGCGGTTTCAAGCTTCCTGCCTTAGTTCCTCATCAGTTACTTTCTTGCAACTTAGTTCCTGATTTCAGTGTGATCAAGGACACACTGTCCTTCTCAAACCCTGGATTGTTCACACAGTCCCATAGCACTTTATGGCCTTGTTGTTCAAGATACGCCTCTACAAGTCCCCCTTTTTCTTTTTGGACAATCCAGGCTTGCTCCACTAATCGTGACATCGCCTTCTTAGCACATGACAACAAACATTCAGATATTAAACATCCTACTGTAATTACTATTATGAGGGTTAGACCCTTCTCAAGCAACACTCGTAAAACTGACTGAGCCAGTCTCCAAGGGGGTCATTTGTTTCTTTTAGGTTGTGCAGTTTATCTTTTAGCATAGCCAGCTTTTTGTGGATGGACTCAGAGTGATCCAACAAGTTCATACAACACATCCCTTCAAATTCATCACACCCATGTCCTTGTGTAAGCAATAAGAAATCAATAGCGGCATGGTTTTGAAGCACAGCATGATTAACACTACTTACATGTTGCGATAGCTCATCTAAAATTTGGCTAGTGGTGTTCAATTCGTCTTTAGCCCAACATGCTAACTATTTGAAGGTGGTCATGGCCCTGGCTGCAGTAGCTCCCGGGACAAAAAGGGAAGTAAACACCACTCGAGTCCGTGACCAAAATATTGGGTTTTCTGGGTCACGGCAATCTAACTCGTGGACGCTTCTTTTGCTCCTCTGGGTTTTGTTTGAGGCCCATCGCATGAGTGCTGTCAAATTGGGATGGAACAATGCCAATTTCCCTAAATAACACGGTCCTCCATGAGGGCTTGCGGGGATCCCGTTCCAGGCCCGGTCCCCACATATTAAAAATATGCCTGGCTTTCGAGCAGGCTTCCCAGTTTGGTTAAACCAGGAATAAAGATTGTTAAAAACTTCATTAGACTTAAGGGCGGAATCTACGGTTGCCCAGAAATTCCTGTTTACATTTAACTGTCCTTGTGTGGGGGGATCAAAGCTAAATGACCCAGATTGCTTCCCTATAGCCGAGGCATTAAGACACCCTAATAAGTCTAGTTCTTCCGGAGGGGACGTTAGGGTAATGTTTAAACTATTCCCAATTTGTGCTTGCTACCCTCCATCTTGTTGCGATGGGGAAATCCCATAACCTGTAAGAGTCATATTTGCTATGGTAAAGTTCAACATTGACACATTCTTGATATACCCTCGGAACTCCTCTGGTCGCCACACAGGGGTTCCGATTAGACACGTGCGAAATGGGTTCCCTGGGGTGGCCGAGCTTAAACACACGGAATCTTGGCCTGTTATGTTGGCTAACGTGACCTAAACATTAGCTCTTGGTGAAATTTTGCTCAAGAGTCTGTTCATAGTTACTCTCCATACAAGCTATGTCTCCCAGCAAACCCACCATGCTGTTTTCTATATCATTTCGTTTGTCTTGGTCTTCTTCTTCTTCTTGTTTATGGTCTTTGGGTGTCTGCACCACAGGTCGCGTCCGCTTGCTCGGCACCCAAATAGGTCCAGAATCTGTTAAGACACAAGTGTAGCCTCGGCCATTAAAGAGCAACGTGCCTGGTCCTGTCCACACCCCTGTTTTTGGGTCTTTATACATTAGCTTAATACTAGACTCGTTCAGCTTTATCTCTTTCCCATAGTGCAGCATAGCTGGGGGTATCTCTTGCTGCCCTGATATACTCAAAAAATTTAAAGTAAACAACACTTTATAAAGGCGGATGAGGGGATCTGCCTCAGCTTCTGATTTTTGCTTTGCTAAGACCTCTTTGATGGTGCGATTGGCCCTTTCTACTATAGCTTGTCCTGTAGACACATGAGGGATGCCAGTAGTATGTTTGACACCCCACCTTTGTAAATATCGGTTTACCTTCTGGCCAACATAGGCAGGTCCATTGTCAGTTTTTATGGTTTGTGGGACTCCCAAAACCGCAAAACAGGCGGAAAGGTGCCGAATCACGTGAATTGCTTTCTCCCCTGTTTGCGCAGTGGTCTATATCATATGCGAAAAGGTATCCACTGTAACATGCACATATTTTAATCTTCCAAATTCTCCTACATGTGTTACGTCCATCTGCCATATTTCACATGACGCCAAGCCCCTAGGATTTACCCCCAGGCCTAGCAATCCACTGTGTTTGCTACACTGGTCACATGCTTTTACTATCCCTTGGGCGTCTGACCAAGATAACCGGAACTGTCTTTTTAATGCTTTGGCAGACTGGTGAAACATTTCATGACTCTGCCGAGCCATGACAAAAGAGTCTACAGGGGCTTGCACAGACAAGGTAACTAAAGCATCCGCTCTTGCGTTCCCCTCCCCAAGGCCTAAGTTAGTTTTATGACTCCTTATGTGAATAATACAGCAAGGAGATGACCGCGCTTGCAAGGCCTTCTGCAGTTGCAGAAACAGCTGTCCCAATAATTCTCTTTTTGGCGGCCGAACAACAGCATCTTCAATTCTTTGCACAACTCCCACCACATATAAGGAGTCTGAAACTATGTTTAGGGGCTCGTTCGGCCATTCTGACAGAGCTCACAACACAGCTTTTAGTTCCAAAGTTTGTAGAGAGTTTTGGCTAATGCCCTTGATCTTATGATGGAGCCATTGATTTTTGTCTCTCCATACACAAACCGCTGCCAGAGATTTTCTCCCTGCATCTGTAAAAACAGTTTGGGCCTGTGGAAGAGGTTGGGATACCACTAGACGCTGTGGCCGCCATTCGTTCTGTGCAACAAAGCGAAGCAGTGGATGGTCGGGCACTGCAGTTATAATGCGCTCCGGATATTCCAAAAGGGCAAGCTGCAAATCTTCTGAATTTGCCAGCAGCCACTCCAGTGTATCTGCATTCATCTGGAGGCTAATACATACTGGTTCCTGGCCGCTGACGTCTTTGCATCTTGTTCGGCCTTTTTTGATCAATTTACAAATCACTTCCGTCCGTTGCCAAATGCTTTTTGGAGCAGTATGGGGTGGAAACAGCCACTCCAGCACCGTGCACTGTGGTTTTTGCCTCCTCTGCAAAATTTGTTGAGCCTGCTTGGCACTTGTGGGTGATGGGCCGCTTTCTCCCCCTTTTTCTTTTTGCCAAGCAGGAACTTGCAGCAAGAAAGCAAAAGATGAATCTTTCAAATTGCAAAGGAGGATAGATACAGGAACGTCCGGTAAGGCTCGATTAGCTACTGCCGTGGTAACTTTCATGCTTAATTGATTAAAGTATTGTGTATGTGCTGCGGACCACGGCACCAAGGCTGCAGGATCAGTACCATGTAACAAGACAAGGAAAGGCTGTACGTCTTGATTGGTTAGACCTACTAAAGGCCGAAGCCATTGCAGTTCCCCTGTAAGTCGCTGGACATCGTTTAATGTCTTAATGTTCTGATGCAATGCTATTTTCTGGGGAAATACTGAAGCTCGAAACAAGGTCCAACCTAAATATTTCCATGGTTCAGTTCGTTGGACTTTTTCTGGTGCTACGACAAGGCCTTTTTTTTCTAGTGCTACTGTTATTCTCTGTAACGTCTGTTCTGTGAAGGGCTGTTCTTGACTAAATAGGATGTCATCCATATAATGATAAATAAGGGCATTAGGCATTTCGGTTCTTAAAGGTGCCAGTGCCCATGCAACATACAACTGGCACATTGTGGGCGAGTTTTTCATGTCTTGCGGAAGCACCTCTCATTCATATTGCTGAGCTGGGCTTTCTTTGTTTATAGATGGGAGAGTAAAAGCAAAACGCACTGTATCTTGAGGTTGCAAAGGTATTGTAAAAAAGCAATCTTTTAAATCAATCACCAAAATATTCCAATCTTGTGGCAACGTGGTGGGCAATGGCATACCAGGTTGCAACGCTCCCATGGGCCACATTTGATCGTTAACTTTACGTAGGTCATGGAGCAATCGCCATTTGCCACTCTTTTTAGGAATGACAAAAATAGGTGTGTTCCACGGCCTAATAGAGGGCTTAATATGTCCGGCCTGTAATTGTTCTTGAACAAGTTGATGGAGCCGTTCCTTGGTTTATCAGCCACTGCTCCACCCATACGGGTTCATTAGTTTTCCAAGAGATGGCTGGGGTAGGCAGCTCCGTAGCAGTGGCCACTAAGCAAAATCTTGAGAACTGGGAATGGTGATAATGGCCCTCACCTGAGCTAGGACATCTCGACCCAATAGGCCCTCTAAGTCTCCAGGCAGTGGCATAACATATGGTCGCAAGACAACAGAGTGTCCCTCTGGTAGTCGAAGCAACACTGGGTCTCGGCTCTGCAAGGGTCTTTGGCCACCGCCGACTCCTTGCACTGCATCTAGAGCCGGGATTAATGGCCATTGTTTAGGCCATATTTTTCTGCTGATTATGGTGACATCCGCCCCTGTGTCTGTCATAAGTTTTATTTCACAGCTTTGTTGACGGCAGGTGAGTTGTGCTTGTATCATCGGTCTTTGTTTCATCTGTTGCACCAGGTTCACCACCGTGTTGCCTGTGGAGCCAAAGCCTTGGTTCCCCCTTCGTGAGCTGCAGGACATTACATCTTTTTCTAAGGCAGCTTTTTGATATATCACTAATTATGCTACTCGCGTCCCCTTTTTTACTGTCAGAGGGGGACATAAGGCATAAGCGGCAATCTGTATTTCTCCTGTATAGTCCATGTCAATTACCCCCAGTAATACGATGAGGCCAGCTGTACCGGCTGATGAACGGCCTATGAGAAGAGCGCCAACATTGCTTTCTTCCTTATAGATGGGCCCGGTCACACCCGTGGGAATATGCTGGACTGAGGAGTCTTTAAAGGTGATATCTATTGCTGCTGCCAGATCGATTCCCAGGCTTCCCCTAGTTGCAGGGGGGTTGTAGCTGTTGGATAGTGTTGGGTCGGCCATTTGTGTCAGAGCGCGGGGCCCCCTCACGCTGTTAGCCCCGTTTTTTGTCCGGTGGCATACTGTGGTAGCATGAGTTTCCTTTTGGCAATTATCACACCACACGGTGGCAGTACATGCCTTTCTATAGTGTCCATGACCACCGCAACGATAACACACACCAGAGGCAGTTTCTGGATTTCGATTCTTTTGTTGCATGTTTATTTTTTGAGCCGCGGATGCTAATATATTCCTCGTAGATCTAACAGTGGCTGCAACAGCATTAGCCATTACTTTACTCTGTTGTCCTTGTTCAGCTCTTAAGGCAAGTTCCAACATATCTCCAACGTTTGCGTCTTTGGGTAAAGTGGCCAATATAGCTTTTACTTTAGGATTAGCATTTTCAAAGGCAAGCATTTTAAACATTGTTTGTTTAGATTCCTCTGACATTCCTGGATGTGCCAACAGAGCACCAGACAAGCGATCAATAAAGTGTCCATAGTTCTCTGTCAGCCCTTGCTTAATTGTTGTAAATGCTGGAGCAGGAGTAGAGTCAGGAACTGCATTCAGGGCTTGTCTAGCCAGGCTAGCTGACAGCTGGAATAACGGGAGTGGAAAACGTAATTGCCAGTTAATGTCAGCAAATCGCCCTTGTCCAGTTATCATATCGGCGGTTACACCATTGAGCAAATCAGCAGGATCTCGGGGTCGCATAGCTTCCATCTGTGTTAACCGCTCCCATTCCCGCGCCCAAATTATATATTGGGCGGGGGTTAATAATACTCAGGCCAAGTTCTGGCAATCAAATGGGGAATTGGCATCGGCTGTATAAATCCAATCCAAAACAGCTCGCGCTTGTTCAGATTTAATGCTATTTTCCTTTACAGTTTTTATGGCCTGTTGCAAAATTTTCCAATCGTGTTGCTCATATTGAGGGCCATTGGCCCCAGTTATAACAGGACAGGCCATATTGCTGACAGGATGCCAATCTCCCTCTAAGATAGCATCTTTGATCACACCTGACCAACGGGACACAGCACGAGATGCGGGCGGTGCAGAGGGGGTTAAAGGATTTTGAGTTTCTGAAAGGAGTCGCTGAACGGAGTTGTGTGGAACCTTTGATGGAATAACACCTTCAGCAAACCGTTTGGCAGTTGCTCCGGCATAATTGTCAAGTTTTTGAAGCACTTCGGCCACTTGATGAGCTAGCTCTTTAAGCCCTGTTGTTTTCATTTCCATAACAGAGCAGGTGGATAAATCCTCATCGTCATCATCAGGAAGTGGCACTGCCTGAGGTGGGGCAGAAGGCTGTGGCAATTGCGCCGGAGCAGGTCCCCCCATCAGGGTCTCAGTTGTGATATTGATCTGCTCAGGTGGTGCTGGGGGGGCCGTTGGTATTGTGGCGGGTGGCGGCGCAGGAGGGATATTAGAACCAGAACCGGATTCCAGGGGAGTAGCCATCTCCGTGGGTGGTGTTGCAGCAGCGCCTGCCAACTCCGCTACAGTAGAACACTGTTGGCCGGTCATGCCTTTTATAGGACGCAGATAGCCCGTTCCAAACAAATTTTCTAGTCGGCTTGGCTTAGGTGGAGGAGGCGGGGGGGGAGGCCGGGTGGAGTGCAGCAGCTGCTACTTTTGTCTCTGCATGCATCTCTTTTAGCGTATTTATAACAGTTCTCCATACAGTTCTAAAGCCCCTTATATCTTTATCTTGATCTGTTAGCGTTAGTTCCCACATAGTGTCACCTAAATCCCGCCAACAACTCTCAACAAATAAGTGAGCAGGCAAACACAAATGTCCATGCTCCCGTGCCCATTCTACCAACTTGCTTAAAGTTTTTTCTGCTACTAATTCTCCTCTCTTTGAGAGGATGCTGAACAATAGCTTGATGGCTGCCGCAAATTCCACTTCCATATTAGCAACTAAAAAGGCGGGGGAAAATTGCGCTGATTCTCCTACCTCCAGTTGCTGAGACTCGGGTACGTCCACGCCTGCTCCCCTCCAGCTCACGCTTCCCGATCGTGGAAAGACTTGGAGCCTCTGTGCATCAACGCCGTCTGCGTCTCTCTACACCAGCGTTCAGTCACTCAGTGTCTTGCCGCTTGGTCCCTGTTCGGACGCCAGTTGAAGAGTTAGGGGAGCTCCGGAATACAAACACAGTCTCCACAGAAGTATGATGAATGCTTCTTCTTTATTGCAAAACACAGTTACAGTCTACAGCAGGGTTCACACAGCATAAAACAATAATATCATTGGTTCAAGCATTCTGTTCACGCGCCTCATCTTGAGTGATGGTTGCACACAATAAAGCATGCGGTAGTCTTGGTTTGCCTTGCGGTTTCAAGCTTCCTGCCTTAGTTCCTCATCAGTTACTTTCTTGCAACATAGTTCCTGATTTCAGTGTGTTCAAGGACACACTGTCCTTCTCAAACCCTGGATTGTTCACACAGTCCCGTAGCACTTTATGGCCTTGTTGTTCAAGAAACTCCTCTACACCTCTTCATTCTGTTCATTGATAACATAACAGAATCCCTTTTCTTGTTTTTTGTTTTTTTTAACTTTTGGATTAAAATACTGAAGACATTAAAAGGCACATTATTTTAGTAGTCTAAATGTAGAAATAAACAAGTTTTAACTGTCCTTTTCAAGATGGCACAGCTAGCTCAGTAGACTTCAGTCATGCTCAGTACTGGCCTTGGTTGGTTCACTTTCCAGAAAAAAATACCATTACTTCCAAATAATAATTTTTAAATTGTATGTCATTTTCTTTGTAGCATTTTGTTTGTGCAAAATGTGAAAAGCCATTCCTGGGCCATCGTCATTACGAGAGAAAAGGCTTGGCATATTGTGAAACCCACTACAATCAGGTAAGGTTACATATTTTAAAAACTGGTGCTAAATGGTGAACAAATAGATTGGTTTTATTAGATAGAGACAGAAAACCACGGACATTCTTCTGTTTTCTTATAGGCACCTGTGGGTGCAATGCCAATTAGCAGACGTTCTATTGCAGTTAATTCATACGCGTTTCTCTATACATTAGTCTCGAGGAGGAAGACTGCATTATTTCCCAAAGGCTACCCAGGACAATCAGTATCGAGTTGTTCTTCAAGCTTAGTGGTACTTGAGTAGAGCTGTTGCAAGCTTTTACATGTCTGTGAGATCAGAGCAGCTAATGACACCCAATCTTTCCCAAGAAGCTAAAGATTTGCCACTCAGTAGCTGCGGTTTTAGACCTAATGAGTAGCGTGGTTCTCCGTAGAGCTGCTACTCTAAGCTGACTGTGTGTTAACAGGCACCGCACCACCCAGATCATTCACTGGACTGCTGAAGACTGCGAAGACTAAATTTGTCAGAGGACACCACCTAGTGACCACTTGCATTTATCTAGGGGTTACGTACCATGGTACCATCTCTCTCCAGATTCCCTTAATTGTGTAGTCCAGCACCACCCTGTATGGTGCTTTTTTATTTGAAGCCATCTGCGTTGTGCCATGTCCACATCTTTGCTTGTATAAATACAAGAGTAGGGCTTACATCTGGGAGTTGTAAGACATCTACTAATTACAGATGGATTTTTAATTTGTCAGTGATGCAGGGCAGTGTTGCTTGGCATGCTGGGAAACAATAAATCCCATGACATTGGTAGTAATAGTATTGCAGCCATGATGGGGCAAGTACACATATACTTGTATGGCACAAGAGCTGTATGTAGAGTGGGTGTCTTCTACTAGGTTAACTACTACATCTAGAAAAAATACATGACATTTTGAGCACTTCTGCATTGTTACATTGTGGAGAAATGTTAAAGCTGGAAATAGAATGGATCATTTTTGGTCTAAATTTTCACCTTTTTTAAAATAACATTTCCTCACAGTTTTTTGCCAGAAACAGCAACGCATTGTTCTAGTCATGCATGTAAGTCCGAATGTTAAATTGGCTGATAATGACGTGTACGTGACACCGATTGCTGTATTTCAAGTGTTCAGGATTAGAGAAATGTTAAAACAAAACAAAGTCATTTTTAGAGGATAAAACAGATCTAAGCAAATTTTTTCATCTTTAATATTGTAAAGACTTATTGTGATGAGATGGTGTAAAACATACTTGAAAAAACAAACCAGATTCACCAGCATTCTCTTTATTTCACTGAAATAAGGAAGAAAACTATTGTGCCCGTCAGCTAAAATAGAGTTATTTTGTTAGTCTGAGAAGCTACCCTTGATAAAATTGTTACATTAAAAATTCATTACTTCTCTTTCCTCTTCAGCTGTTTGGTGATGTTTGTTTCCATTGCAACCGTGTGATTGAAGGTGATGGTAAGCACTTTTCTATTTCCTTAATAGTCTTTCTGATGGAAGTTCTCTTTAAAAGCGGAAGTAAGGGGAAAGCAGCCCCTTGCTGAATCCTTCATTGTTCTGATTAAAACAAAATCAGCCATTCTCTTAATCGGACATTAGGTTGGAGCTGGCGAGTCAGAGATCAAATGGTAAGAAAACCTTACAGTGAGTGTTTCAAGATGGTGTGGAAGGTCACACAGGGACTGAAGAGAACTCTGGTCAGGCAGATACTGTTTAGTGACATGCAAAGGCCAGGGACGCTAGGAGATGCACAGAGGTGGTTTCCTGCCCCACTGACTTTAAAAAAACCCACATGAAACTGTGAGGATGACCACACAGGCATCTCCTCAAACAAATTTAGGGATCGTGAACCAAATTTGAAAAAGTATTTAGATACTGAAAGACATGGGTGGGCACTGTAAGGGTTTTTTTTTAAAGTGCCTAGTTTCCATTATTTCAGTTTGGTTCATAGAGATATTTACCTGTCTATCGCAGGCACATGTCTTCTGAAAATCTAGACTGATGATAATGTCACAAAACAAGGAAAGATCGTATTTGGAAAGATGTGTCCTATAAAGGCAGAACTGGAAGCAAGTGTTTTAACTTTGAGGGGGTGGGGCAGGGAGGCTTGAGGAGGTGGAAGTGTTTTGCAGGGGGTTTTTGGACAACCAGCTATGATAAAATGTGCCTATTTACCCCTGCCTGAAGTAAATACTATAATACCAGTGTTAGCCTCACTTAAGCCAAAGGCATTAGCAAAGTGGGAGGAAGCCTCTAGCGTGTAAAAAGAGACATAAACTAGTTTATAGCCCTGTAAGTATAGGGTGAGACCTACATGCCAGAGATGTGCTTTGCCCATATTTTCTGGACTGGACTATACCTGCAGAACGACAATCCAGAAGGCCTTGGAGGAAACAATGTCCTCCTCTTCATTAAAATTCTTCTGGAATGAGCAGAACTGGATTTGAGGTGAATGAATAAATTCGGCCTCGTCTGATGACTACATCTCTTCATGTTTCTAATTTTACACCATATAATCTGACACCCAATATTTCTTTATTTTTAATGTATGTCTTGAATTATTTTACATTTCTTTTATTTTTTGCACACACATTTGACACTGCTGTCACAAATGATGAGTATCCAGTTGTTTTGGGGTTTTTTTGAGCAGCGGTTTTTCAGGAGGCTGTCTGTGAGTGTCTTCCAGAGGTTGCTTGGGAGAAAAGACTTTCATCTGAGTCATACTCTTTTGGCAAGTGGTGGAATAACTTTGCTTCTGTGGATATGCTTGCCCCATGGTGCAGGAAAAAAGCTCTGTCTGGTTCTGTTTGTTGCTGAGAAAATGCTGTATTTTATAAGACAACCATTGTCCTGCATCTCCTAACTTAGATTAAGAAGAGAGGAAAATTTTGTCAGGGAAAAGTGAAAAGGTGCTTTAAAAGACAAGAAGAACAGAAAATGGATTGAGATACAGAACAAAGAGAAAATAGTTACTTTCTTTCCAAAGCAAAGAATAAAAATATATCCAAGTTGGTCTTGATCAAGTAATTTATCCCATTAAGTCTATCAATATTTTTACCTTAGTAATTCTGATTTACCAGCAGTGTCCTGACTGCTGGCTTCACGTTATCTTCTTTGGCTGTGCAAGAGCTGTTGTTGATGGCGCTGCAGTCGGACTGGGAGCTGGGAAATGGAACTGAATGAAAATTTGAACACCTTCTTGCTGGATTGCTTTTCAGCTGAAATGGTCTCCCGATTAAGTTGGAAACGCAGCCTCATAAAACAGTTGCCTGAGGTCAGCGTGCTGTGAGATGAGGTGGAAGCAGGCAACAGGAGGCAGGAATAGGTTAAACTGGTCTTGCTCGTGAGCACAGTTGTAGGTACCCTCAGAGACAGCTTTACCAGTGCTTCCCAGTCCTGCTGCACTGCACTCACATGGGCCTTCCCAGCCTTGCCGTGTTACTATGGTCCTTGATACAAGAATCAAATAACTGTTCTTCATGCCTCATGAATGTGGGAGCTTAAAATTTTCGTAATACCTTTTTTTGTCTTTTCGGTAATGCTAATGATTTCTCTTTTTTCCCCCATCACCCTAGTTGTGTCTGCTCTGAATAAGGCGTGGTGCGTGAACTGCTTCGCTTGCTCAACTTGCAACACTAAGTTAACACTCAAGTAAGTTTATCGATAAGTGTGATCCCTTCAAAACCTATCGGTGGCTATCTGCAAAGTGTAGCTGTTGTTGTAGTGTAACTGTTTATGGCCTGAAAAACACAGAAGCAGAACTTAGAAAATATCTGCCTTTTTCTTCCTCTTGCTCCACTTACTAATTTACATCTCTTTTAGCTGTCTTTTCAGGTCTTCCTTCAGTTACTCTTCTTAACTCTTCTCCTCTTCTGTTCCTTATTTTTTCTGTATTTAACTCTAAAGGGATAAATTTGTTGAAATTGATCTAAAACCTGTCTGCAAACACTGCTATGAGAAAATGCCAGATGAATTTAAGCGACGACTTGCCAAACGGGAACGGGAAGCAAAGGAAAAAGAGAAGCAGAAAAAGAAAAAGCCAATCTGTTTGTAAACTTTTTTTCCTTCTCACCACCACTTCTGCTCCTTTCTTCTTTGGTCAGTGCTAAGGATGCTTTTATTTTGAGTTTTTGCATGAATTTATGCCAATCAAAACTAAAATATTTTTCACACAACTGCAACTTGAAATATTAACTTGTTATTCTGTTATCTTTCATTTGGTCTGTTTAGCTCTACAGTTAGGTTTGGAGGGCTTTTTAAATGACACGGTTAATAAATATGGACACTTGGGTAAAAACTGCGTAACTCACTCAACAGGGTACTGTAACTACTCTACAATGTATAACCTCGTGAAAGTAACTTCATGTGTATGTATAAACTGCAGTTGTAATTTTTTGCCTGCGCATGTTTAATAGGATACTTTTAAATTATTTTCTTTTCACTGTCCCTGTACTAAAACTTTGTCTGGATTTTGCTTTGTTGTTTTAGGAATAAATTTGTCGAGTTTGATATGAAGCCTGTCTGCAAAAAGTGTTATGAGAAGTTTCCTCTAGAGCTGAAGAAAAGACTGAAGAAGCTAGCTGAAACTTTGGGAAGGAAGTAAAGACCTCATCTGCTCTCCCCCTCCTTTGTGAAAATCTTATATATATTACTCCGGGAGGAAAAGGGGGGCTGCTTTGAGGCTGCAACAAATGATGGTGTATGCCTTCTATCAAACTGAAATATTCTCTGTTCTCGATACATATACAAGTATGCTTATTTGTTGATGAACAGACCGCACTTCCAACCTAAATTCAATACCAGCTCACCTGAAAGGTTCCTGACCTCAATCATGCAGTTGAGCTGCTGGAAGTGGCCCATTCTGCACAATAATCTCTCTGGAAATTTAGAGACACAGCAAATTTGCTTTTTGTGAATTTGTGAAATTTGTGAATACCTGCAAAAACAAGCTGTGCAAATGCGCCCAACTTCAGGGGCGTGTATTGTCATTTATATGAATGAAAGTATTAACCTTCATATTAAGCATGCACACAAGGGACTTGGGCAAGAAACCAACACACTTTGCCTCATGGAAAAATTCACGGTTGGTTTTCAGGCCAAGTCGTCTCATTAAAGGAGCTTTGTTCCAAGTGGTTTGAAAAGTATCAGGTTCCTAAATACAGTCACAGTATGGATGACCTACTTCTGATAGATAATGCTTACATGGTGAATTTTGGTACATCAGGCTTAGCATGAAATACCTATATAAAATGTGTATTCCTATTGCAAGAAATGAGCATACTCAGAACTACTTGAATTTTGCTATATTCCACTCAGAATAACACATTAACTTTTATATATGCTTTTGCATTCTATTTACTTTTTGTGCCTTATTCTGCTGGACCATACATAACAGTGTTCCATTAAATATATATATATAGTTTTATTTTTTATTGCCTATTTTTATGCAGAAACTATATACAAGGTATTTTCCAAAGATAACATACTTTGCCTTAATTATACAGGACATGAGACATATTTTATTTCAAATGTGAACACCTGAGCTTAAAATTCAGCTTCTGAACTTCACTAATTTTCAGAACAATACTGAAAATGCTATTTCAGTTAACTGGCAATATTGCTTTTACACCTGTGTGTGTAAATATACAAGGTTTGATCCTGCTAGGATCTGTTTCTTTAGCCATCCTCAAGAACTGAACTCACAAATCGTCAGAATTCCTTATGACATGCATTTAATTATTTTATACTATTAACTTATATCCACACAAATCTGTTTTATTCTTCCCTTTCTTATAGAAAATACAGTTACTTAGGACTTCTGGATGGTACTACATTATGAAGTACGCAAACATTTTTTTAGTATTTGGGACTTAAACAGATTTTATGTAATTACATCATAGGAAGTAAAATTCTCTTTCCTGTTTATGAAAAAATAGTTGCTTTAAAACATCTGCTTTCCAGTGTCATCAATAAAGGCTATGTTATTAAACCTTGTATCGCCTCTCCTAAATGACTACTTCAGAAGGGTAGGCTCTCTTGGTTCCCTCTGCTTTTGCCTGTGACTATATGTAAATACTTCCTTATTATCATGATTTAAAGGCGATAGATGCATTTCCTAAATATCCCACTGTAGTTCTTAGGTTCATGAAAAAAACTAAGTTTGTTTCACAAAGAACAGCTTGATTCTTCTGGATATTTTCTAAATTGGCACAGTGGCTAGTTTTTCCTAAAGAAATCATTTTGTCCGAGTTTAAAACATACAACTTCCTATCAAATTTTTATCTCCTTTCACTGTAATGAAACAGTCACCTTAAACTTCCAGTTTAGCGCTGGGTAGGGATTTATTTTTACTGTTTTCCCCTATGTAGTTATTGAATGCCATGGTTGCATCCATCCCACAGTGGCCCTGTCTGCACTTCCATGGCCACAGGTCTCTCGACTCTGTGGTACCCTGTGGCCCTAACACAGGATAGGCTGTTTTTCTGTTTCCAAGCTCCTGATGGTGAACGCTGTGTTATGGTTCCCCAAGGCAGCGGTTTCTATTTTATGAAGACGAGCGTGTGTATCTCAGACCTGCGATGTTGTCCTGAGAGCAGCTGAGGGAACTCCAGTGTTCAAAACCTGATGAATCACAGACAAATGTTGGTTGGAAGGGACTGCTAGAGGTCAGCTAGCCCAACCATCCGCTCAAAGCAGGTCTTAACTTCAAAGCTGGATCAGTACTGAAGGTCTTGCTCAGCCAAGCTGTGAGTATCTCCACCTTTGTGGCCAATATGTTCCAGTCCTCAATCACCCTCATGGTGATTTTATTTTTTATTATTGGAGTCCGATCTTGAGTGGTGGGTTCCTCAAAACCACACTGCTCTCTTGGGAGCTGTCTTTGGAGTGAACTGTCATTGAAATAATACCCCTGGACATTGTTATGAAGAGCATTAATTAAAAGCAGTTGCAAAACAGAGCCAGGGAGCAAGCAAGCCATTAGGCAGCCCAGACAATTACAGGCCTGGTGTTGAAGGTCACTTCCTAGCCTGTCAATATTACAAATATTTTGCATAGCTAGACATACTTCCCTGAAAGAGGCAGAGTTTATTACTGTTTTTGTACCCATGACCCCTATTAGGGCTCTCAAAGAAGGCTGTGAGCCTGGGATGTGAGAATGGATCCCTCAGAAGCTTTGCCCTTTTCTGCTGTGTGGGATCATGGGCACAGAAGATTCTTTTTGAAGCACCTGCAGGGAGCACCTCAGAAATCTCAAGAGATGTAGCTGTAGGGTGAAAAAGCTGAGCTTAAAGCCTTTCTGCTGCTGGGAATGGCAAGCCCTGCGCTCTGTTTCAGCAGATATCAGGTAGAGCCAAGTTGAGCACAGTCAGGTTTCAGGGAAAGCCCTGGAGCCAACCGCTGCCCTGCCTGGTGAGCTGCCTTCCTGGCGTTGTGACCACCAGGGACAGCACGGGGTGCCACTTCCACAGGGATGCGTGAGAGATGGTGACCAGCATCAAGGCACCGGACCTTGTCTGTACAGAGGCAATTTCTCACGCCTCCCCATCAGCTGATGAGCAGAAATTTCCTCCAGTGAGCCAACTCTCAGCGTTCTCCTCTGCATGAGCACCAAGACTTTTATTACTTAGCCTGGCAGGTGATGATATGATAAATTATTCGGTAACTCCAGTTGTAGACACACTATTCAAAAAGTACAGAGCAAAAAGATCCTCTTTCTTCTTAGGTAATTACATCTGACATCTAAATCAATCACTAATAATAAAAGAGAGGGTTAATTTTTTTCAGCCAGGGTGTTACATGGATAGTGCCGGTCTCCTCACAGTAACAAGCTGGGTTGTGTTTTTTAATTTTTCCAGCAAAGATTGTAAGAGATTTGGAGATGCCAGTATTTTTTAGGTGTAGCAGGAATCATATGGCTGTCAGTGGGTTGCTTGAGATTGAGAATGGGATAAATTTTTAATGACCCTTCTCCAGAGGTAGAGCCCAGTGACCTAATTTTGACTGAAGTGCCTGAACCATCAGAGGAGAGACGAGAGGGTAATTCCAGGGAGCAGAATCTGAGGCCTTTAGCTGGGAATAACACCATGGCGCAACCACTGGTGCTCAGCACCACCAAACTCTTACAGCTGCAACTTGCAAATTTCTCGTGTCTTGAGGGTTGCTGATCTCACCATCTTCTGATCCTCGTACCCAGCTGTACTTTAGGACGATGACAAAGAGTGCAATTATGCTATTCACAGAACCTGGTAGAGCTCCTCACCATAACCACTATATTTGGAAACTCATTTTCTAGAACACTGGGTCTCAGCAGTAAGGAGCAACAATCCTTGCTTATGGATTAAATTTACAGTTGCTGTGAACCACAAAACACAGTTTCAGGTGAGAAAACACTAAAACTCAGTTCCACAAGTGAAGATTTGCTCTGACAGCATTAAGGCCCACACACGAATAAAACAAGGCAGCAATGCTCAGTTACCCCTTAAAATTCAGCGGGACACAGACACAAGCTGTTACAAGAGGCCTCAAACAAGAATGCACTCAAGGACATGATTTTTGTAATTACTGATATATCCTGGTACACTGATACATCCTAGTACATTCTGAAGGACTACAGATAAACCAGCAGACACCAGTGAAAAACAAGATAAAGGAAACTGAGGAATTCACAAATAAAGTTACAATCCAAGGAAGGAGCAAATATGGGAGAAAGAACTTATGGAAAGGACACTAAAAATGCCTCTTCAGAACCATCAGGGACCGCCAGAGACTACCAAAAGGCCCCTTGTATGCTAGCAAAGTTTGATCCGAGACTGATTTAAACAAATATTTAAATGCATTATATTTAAATCGCAACCAATCATTGTAACCTGGATTATGCAATCCTGAAACTTTTGTGGATAAATATGCCAAGAAAAGTGGTCTTAAGTTGTGCGATGCTGGAAGGAATCCAGAATCCCCCCTTCGATGAATAAAAGATGCCTGCTTCTTAGCGCTGCGTTGGCGTTAAGAGGATTTCCTATTCCCGATGTCGGTGGCAAAGGCAGCCTTGGCTTCCCGAAGCGGAT